TACCCATGGGCCCGTTAAGAAGCATCGATTCCAGTGAGGGTTCTTGATCAAAGGTATTGAACCTACAATACAAAAAAGGTTTGTGGTATACAATTGCACATGTGGTGGATGGAAACTGCAGTGTAGTCAAAAACAGGAGACCAGTTGACAGTACATTTCGATCTTTGAGATATCCTCGGGCTGATGAGGATCTCAGACCAAGATTGAAATATACAGAACACCTAGTCTGTCTTCGTCTACATGTGGGTCTCCTTCTACCACTGACAAATATCCACACTTAGTTGCTCCACTGTACACATGCATTTGTGAACAATTACGTTTCATACTTCATCCAGCTTCTCAAGAGCTGGGGGCACACATCCAAGATTCAACATACATTCTCCCTCTAAACTGCAACACTAAGACGCTGAAACAGAAAACTAACTGTTCTAGGATCATTAGTTTTCCTAATGAGCCTTTTGCGTATATCCTCCAGGATCTTGGATGTGTTCTTTGCCCACGAGTTGAGGGTCTCTGAACCCGTGGAAATGAACATGTAATGATAAGCAAGCTTACTTATTTTCTAGATTTTTGGGACTTCCTGGAGTTGGCAACCGCACCTTTACCCCAGCTGTATTGAGGATAGGTGTCAGCCAGTGTGGACGCACATGCGTAGTCCCACACCACCTATTTCTATGTCCAAGCTTGCAAGGTAATTCCATATGGATACTTTGAGTTGTCATCAGATCTATGGAGATTTGATGACAGGCTTCTCTCGATGTTACCCTCGTCATGCTTTGTAATCTTTCCCTCGGATTTATGACAAATATGATTATCGTATCCGAATCAGTCTGCTGATGCATTGCTGCAGATACACCTGTTTGGTGAGGACAGGAATGGTAATGAGAACAGCAACACCAATACGAATTGTCAGTGTGTGCTTCTCTCTCTCTCTCTCTCTCTCTCTCTCTCTCTCTCTCTCTCTCTCTCTCTCTCTCTCTCTCTCTCTCTCTCTCTCTCCCCCCCTCCCTCCCTCGCACGCATGCACACAGCTATGACTCGACCCTTGCAACCGCAATTAGGTGAGTACACACACGCAGGAATTGACAAGGTAGATAGGGACAGGATGTTTCAGTGTGAGGCTCTTGATCTGAGGAATTAGACTTGCCCTCCCCTTCCTTGGATCGAACCTAAATGCCTCCCCAGGCACTATATGACCCCCATGGGTCTAGTGCTTCCTCATAATAATAATCAGAGCTGGAACACAGCAACAAGGGGTCACAACTGGAGTTGAAGACTCAGATGAATCACAGGGATATTAGGAAGTATTTCTTCAGCCACAGAGTTGTCTAAAGTGGAACAACGTGGAGAGCGATGTAGTGGAGGCAGGATCCATACATAGTTCTAAGAAGAGATACAATAAAGCTCATGGAGCAGGGAGAAAGTGGACCTAGTGGCGACCAGAAGTTATGAATTGATCCCTGCAACCCCAATTAGGTAAGTACACATTCATTCATAATATTAATATAATAAAAAAAGAAGCGCTAAGCCACAAGGGCTATACAGCTTCATCCCCTCAAGGAAGGTTCCTTGATGTTGGTGAGGGGCTCTTGATTTAGGGAATTGGATCTGTGCTCCAGTTTCCCGAATTAAGCCTGAATGCCTTCCACATCCCCCCCCCAGGCGCTGTATAGCTCCTCCCGGTTTTGCGTTCCCCCTTGATTTATTATAATAATAATAATATTATACAGCTTCATTCATAATAACAGATGACAAAACTCATGCCTCAAGCAACTAAGCCAAGCCGAAATATTAGAACTACGGTGCCCCGATTCACTCTACCATGAGTTCACTGGAACTGGTGGTGTGGTTTACACTGAATTATGTTAGTTTTTTCGACCTGTTCTCTAATTTATATTTGATGATTGTAACTCTTCTCAAGCTATCACGCGTAATGTTTCAGCATGTTGTTTGATGTAGTTGCCTTGAAGAACTTCGAATTCCTCTCCTTTCTAGTCGACAAGTCACTTTTTTGCTAGTGTCATTAGGGACTGGCGTGTGCCCATTTATGGAGTGTGTGGATTTTTACCTGTCCTTGACCACTGGTAAAGGGATCCTTTCACCCAGTGTAAATAGCGCATCAACTTCTGCCACTCCACTCTATGTGATTAATTTAAATCGGAAAAAATCTAGTGAAAAAAAGTTTGGAGACTGGCTGTCTAGTGAGTGCTAAAAAAAAAATGCTTTTCCCTCCAAAAGATTGTTGTGAAAGTGCTAACCTAGTGAGAGTGTAAAAAAAAATTGTGCGAAGCTGTATTCCTCGGTGTTTCCCCGCGTGTACCCCGCTATGGCTCCTCTTTACCAATCTCCTTCAAGAGGATTTTGCCTTCATGTTGGTGAGGGACTCTTGATACAAGGAACTGAACTTGACCGCATGAATGCAATAATAGCCTGTTATGGGTTTAGTTCTTCCCCAAGAATTTAATCACCAACTGACAGTTAAGATATCACCCATGCTCTTTAAATTCTGTTACACATTTAACCTTTTGTGTGAAGTTAATTTGTACGCCTTCCTTGCCTAATGTGTTCCATTTGTACAAGTACAGCTATGTTGATAACTATGTTTAGTAGGAATAAGACATGAGCAACCAAGATATTTATCGAAGGAAACGTGTCGTCTCTGGTAGCTACACAACAGTCACTATTTCCTCCCATCCCCCTCCCTTCAGGCAAGACCCTTCACTACTGTTATGCAAATTCTTAGATGGGTTATGTAAATTTAGCGGTAATATTCTACGTTTATTATTGCAAGGTTAGGCTCGTTGATGGGCTAATATCAGTGCAAAATAAAAAAAAAAGTATGGGTAAACAAAAAATTTGCGTAATTATATTAAGTTTTTACTTTAAGATGAATGAGGCTAAACCTTCAGATGAGATCTTTTTATTAAAGAGAACGTTTCTTTATTAAGTCCTTCAACAGCGTCAAGACACCCGCCCCTTCCCCCATCCCTCACTTTCAATGGCTCGTTCCAAACAAAACTTTGTCTATAATAAGACTTCCTTTGTGGCTGTCAGTGTCAGCCTCCTTATCATTATAAAAATTTCCTGTATGTGTGTGCGTGCGTTCACCTATGTGTATGCTTATATTTATGTTTGCCGGAGTTGATGACTAGATCTTTGACCCCCACCGTGCCCTTTTAACTAAACGCCTAGTTTTATTGTTGGCCCACAGCTCATTTGTGAGCAGCACTGTCACAAGACGGTCTTCGTCAGACCCTACTGGGTGGTTATATCCTTTAGATATTACGTATATTCATTTCATATATTAGTCTTACAGTTCATCATACAGCAGTTTCGTTGGATCTCAAAATTTATAATATTATTGCCACTACAAACATTGGTTATTTCCTAAATCACATCTAGCCTATGCAAGGTGCGGAATAATTTAAAGATCTCAGATATATTATCATTAACAATGAAATTATTTGTCATTTACTGTAGGGTTTATTTGGAGGGGTCTCTAAATGGTTTGATTTGGAGATGTACAGGGT